TGCGCCATTCAGGTGCCCACCCCCCAAAATTTTTAACACATCTCTCACCACACACACATGCACCAAGAAAAGGCCATCTGAGCACATGGGGAGAAGGCAGCTCACTGTCGGCAAGCCAAGAAGAAAGTCCTTACTGGAACTTGACCATGGCAGCACTCTGATCTTGGACTTCCAGTTTCCAGAACTGTGAGAAAATGGATTCTGTTGTTTAAGCCACCCAGTCTATACTATTTTGTTACTGTGAACTTGAGTAGACTAAGGCAATACTATTGCATATAATGGATACTATTCCATATAATGGAATATAATTATATATTATAATATATATATGTATATATATACATATATATATATAATGGAATATATATATAATGGAATATTATCAAGTCTTTAAAAGTCTTTAAAAAGAAGAAAGCAGCTACCTGCTCAGTGGGGAGGGGGGAGGTTGTTGGTGTTTCTTTCTCTCCCTCTGCCTCTCTCCCCCACTTGTGTTCTCTCTCTCTAATAAACAAATGAAATCTTTTTTTTAAGAAAAAGAATAAAACAGCTCTTTGTGGATGCATATGAAATGATACATAAGATGCAATAAGTGAGAAAAAGCAAGTTGCAGAACAATGTGGAACATGCTACTATTTACAAGAAAGAATAGATACTGTTTGCTTGTGCATATATAGAATATGTGTAGAAGGATGTGCAAGAAAGTTGTGGCCTCTGAGATGGGCCAAGGATGGTTAAAAGTATTAGGGAGTTATTTCACTGCCTAACACTGCCGTACATTTTAAATTATGTACCAGATGAACATACCTACCTCATTTTTAAGTAAAAAAAAAAAAAAATTTTAAAGGAACAGGTGATTCATTTATTATTTCTCAAAACATGACTTTAGTTGGGGTGCCTGGGTGCTTTAACCTCTGCCTTTGGCTCAGGTCATGATCCCAGAGTCCTCGGATCAAGCCCCGCATTGGGTTCTCTGCTCAGCAGGGAGCCTGCTTCCCTTCCTCTCTCTCTGCCTGCCTCTCTGCCTACTTGTGATCTCTGTCAAATAAATAAATAGAATCTTAAAAAATATATATATATATGACTTTAGTTGTATGATGCTTTTTAACAGCCCTTAATTTGTTCAGGAAACTGTAGCCAATGCAAGGGAGCAAAATTTGCCACCCCAAAATGTGTCTCTCTGGCATATGTATTATTTTAGGCTGATTATTTTTAAGGAACAGAAGGCTTAGGAATAATTGCTGACCTTCCCCCAACTACTTAAAAGAATTTAGAGGACCTGCCCCAGGAAAGGAGCTATTACCATAAACAGCTATTCAACTATGGTTGCATTTCTACACACTAATAATGAGCTATCTAGGAAATTAAGAAAACAATCCCATTTACAGCTGCATCAAAAAGAATAAAATATCTAGGAATAAATTTACCCAAACAGGTGCAAGACTTGTACTCTGAAGATTGCAGCACATGGATGAAAGAAACTGATGATGAAAAAAATAAATGGGAAGATATATTCTGCTCATGGACTGACAAATTAATATTGTTAAAATATTAGTACTTCCCAAAGCAATCTACAAATTCAATACAATCCATCAAAATACGATTTTCCACAAAACTAGAAAAAAGTACTCCTAAAATCTGTATGGGACACCAAACAGACAAAGCAATCTTAAGAAAAGATCAAAGCTGTAAATATCATGCTGATTTCAAATTATTCTACAAAGTTATAGTAATCAAAACAGTATGGCACTGACACAAAGACACACATAGATCAACAGAATAGAACAGAGAGCCCATAAATAAACCTACATGTATATGGACAATTAATCTACTACAAATGAGAAAAGAATATAAAATGGGGAAAAGACAGTCTCTTCAATAAATGGTGCTGGGAAAACTGGACAAGCTACATGCAAAAGAATGAAACTAGACCACTATCTTACACCATATATAAAAATAAATTCGAAATGGATTAAAGACTTGAATGTTAAGACCTGAAGCCATAAAACTCTTGGAAGAAAAAGATGGGCAGCAAGCTCTTTGACATCAGTCTTAGCAGGATTTCTTTGAACCAATCTCCTCAGACAAGGACAACAAAAGGTAAAATAGCAAATAGGATTACATTAAACTAAAAAGCTTTTACAGAGCAGAGGGAAGGAAACCATCAACAAAACAGAACTGCACCCTACTGAATGGGAGAAGGTATTTGCAAATCATACATCTGATAAAGGGTTAACATCCAAAATATAGAGTTACACAACACTTAAAAAAAAAAAAAAAAGATTAGTGACGCCTGGGTGGCTCCATGGGTTAAGCCTCCACCTTCGGCTCAGGTCCTGATCTCAGAGTCCTGGAATGGAGTCCCACATCTGGCTCTCTGCTCGGCAGGGAGCCTGCTTCCTCTTTTGCTCTCTGCCTGCCTCTCTGCCTACTTGTGATATCTGTCAAATAAATAAATAAATTCTTAGAAAAAAAAAAGATTAAAAAATGGGCAGAATTGCACAGCAAAGGAAACAGTTAACAAAACCAAAAGACAACTGACAGAATGGGAGAAGATATTTGCAAACAACATATCACATAAAGGGCTAATATCCAAAATCTATAAAGAGCTTAGCAAACTCAACACCCAAAGAACAAATAACCCAATCAAGAAATGGGCAGAAGATGGGGCACCTGTGGCTCAGTGGGTTAAGCCTCTGTCTTCGGCTCAGGTCATGATCCCAGGGTCCTGGGATCGAGTCCCGCATTGGGCTCTCTGCTCGGCAGGGGCCCTGCTTCCCCCTCTCTCTCTGCCTGCCTCTCTGCCTACTTGTGATCTCTGTCTGTCCAATAAATAAATAAAATCTTAAAAAAAAAAAAAAAAGAAATGGGCAGAAGACATGAACAGACATTTCTGCAAAGACAACATCCAGATGGCCAACAGATACACGAAAAACTGCTCCACATCACTCAGCATCAGGGAAATACAAATCAAAACCACAATGAGATACCACTTTACACCAGTCAGAATGGCTAAAATTAACAAGTCAGGAAATGACAGATGCTGGCAAGGATGCGGAGAAAGGGGAACTCTCCTACACTATTGGTGGGAATGCAAGCTGGAGCCACCACTCTGGAAAACAGCATGGAGGTTCCTCAAAAAGTTGAAAATAGAGCTACCTTACGACCCAGCAATTTCACTACTGGGTATTTACCCTAAAGATACAAATGTAGTGATCCGAAGGGGCATGTGCACCCAAATGTTTATGGCAGCAAGGTCCACAATAGCCAAACTATGGAAAGAACCTAGATGTCCATCAACAGATGAATGGATAAAGAAGATGTGGTATATATATATACAATAGAATACTATGCAGCCATCAAAAGAAATGAAATCTTTCCATTTGTGATGACATGGATGGAACTAGAGGGTATTATGCTTAGCAAAATAAGTCAATCAGAGAAAGACAACTATCATATGATATGATATGAGGAAGTAGAGATGCAACGTTGGGGGTTTGAGATGAAACAAGATGGGATTGGGAGGGAGACAAACCATAAGAGACTCTTAATGTCACAAAACAAACTGAGGGGGTCCAGGGGGAGGAGGGGAGTGAGAGGGTGGTGGGGTTATGGACATTGGGGAGGATATGTGCTATGGTGAGTGCTGTGAAGTGTGTAAACCTGGCGATTCACAGAGCTGTACCCCTGGGGCTAATAATACATTATATGTTTATTAAAAAATTAAATTTTTTTTTTAAAAAGATAAAACAAAAAAAATGGGCAGAAGACTTGAAAAGCCCATTGTCAAAGATTACACACAGATGCCCAACAGACAGAAGAAAAGGTGCTTAACATCATTAATTAACCATCAGGAAAATGAAAATATGAGATAGTACCTCAAACCTGTTAGAATAGCAATTATCAAAAAGACAAAAAAGAAAAAAGGATGAAAAATAACAAGTGTTGGAGAGGATGCAGACAAAGTGTAGAGAGGTTGTGGAGAAAAGGGAACTTGCATGCACTGTTGCTGGGAATGTAAATTGGTGCAGCTACTTATGGAAAACAATATGGAAGAGCCTTAAAAAATTAAAAGTAGAATTACAATCCAGTAATTCCAGTTCCAGGCATTCATCTGAAGAGAATGAAAACACCAAATCAGAGAAATATATGCAGCCCTATAATCATTGCAGTATTATTTACAACAGCCAAGATATGGACACAACCCAAGTGTCCATCAATTGATGAATGGGTAAAGATGTGGCAAATATAAACAACGAAGTATTTATTATACAGCCACAAAGAATGAAATCTTGCCATTCTCGACAGCATGGATGGACCTAGTATTATGGTATTATGCTAAGTGAACTAAGTCATACAGAGAAGGACAAATATATACAACTTCTCCTGTATGTGGAATCTAAATAACAAAACAAAACAGAAACTGACTCATAGGTATAGCAAACAAACTGTTAGTTACCAGAGAGGGGAGGGGTTGGGGAACAGAAGGAAGAGGATTAAGAGGCACAAACTTCCAGTTATAAAATAAATAAGTCATGGGGAGGTGAAGCACTGCGTAGGTTATAGAATCAATAATATTGTAGTAACTTTGTAATGGTGACCATGGCAACCAGACTTCTCCTGTGGATTTCTTAGTGTATAAAAATATCGAATCAGTATCACGTGCACCTGAAACTAACTAGATATTGAATGTCAAGTATAGTTCCATTAAAAAGCAGAAACAACACTCCTCACAGCAAATTTTCTCTCTACCCTCTCCCCACACCTCGAAGCCTTATTTTCCCAGTCTCTTCCTCACCCACCCACAGCCTGCCTGCCTTCCGCCCCATTTCCTCTCTACTCTTCCCAAACCCCGTTTTTCACCCTTCTGCAGGCTCCAATCCCTCTTGCCTCAGAATTCCCAAAGCTGTTCCTTTCTCGGACCCCGACTTGACTTCCTCCCTTCTCAGGCGTCCAGGCCTCTCACCCCTCCTCCAACACCCTCTCACGCCCCCACATCCCACCTGCACACTCCGCCGCTTCAGCGCCGCCGCGTCCAGCCACACACCGCAGGCCTCTTCCTCATGGCCTCTCCGCCTCATGGCGGCTGCCGACACCCAGCCAGCCGGACACCGGGCTCCGGCTCCAGCTGCCTCACAGAATGGCTTTAACGGCCTCCACCGACGTTCGGATCTCGCGCCAACGCCGGGGGTGGAGCTACGCCGCAGCCGCCGACGCAGGCACCGCCCCAGCATCAGCCCCGCCCCGGCCCTAGCACCGCCCCTTTCTCTCCTCCCGGGGCCTCACAGGGTTGTCTGGTGGGTGGAGCTCCTTTCGGTTTACTAAGGCCTTCGCGGCCCTTGTGATCTTTTAATTCGCGTTGCCTTCCCGCGGCTGGGCTGCTTGAACGTGTTCGCGACATTTCGCAAGGAATATGCATGTCTTTTCGCTAAATTAGTTGCCCTTTCTTGCAGTAAACATAACAACCCCGGGCTCAGGGTTTTCCAGTCTCAACAGCTGCATCCTCCCAGTCATCCCAAAAGGAAGGGTGGAGCCGAGGCTGCGGTCTGCCAGCTCCAAAGCCGGTGTCCCCGGCACTACCTTAAGTGGTGACTACACACTCGAGTTTATGAATTACTTCTGAAATTCAAAAAATAAATAAATAAACCCAAGCATAACTATAAAACCGCATGGGAAAGGATCTAGAAAACGTTAAAAAGGGGGCTCCTGGGTGGCTCAGTGGGTTAAGCCTCTGCCTTTTGCTCAGGTCATGATCTCAGGGTCTTGGGATGGAGCCCTGCATTGAGCTCTCTGCTCAGCAGGGAGCCTGCTTCTCCCTCTCTCTCTCTGCCTACTTGTGATCTCTGTCAAATAAATAAATAAATATATCTTTATTTAAAAACGGGGGTGCTCCTGGGTGGCTCAGCGGGTAAGAGTCTGCCTTCTGCTGGGTCATGATCCCAGGGTCCTGGGATGGAGCCCCAGCTCCAACTCCCTGCCCAGCGGGGGAGTCTGTGTCTCCCTCCCTCTCTGCCCCTCCCCCCACTAGTTCTCACTCTCTCTCTAATAAATAAAATTTTTTTAAAAAATGGGGTGGGGGCGCCTGGGTGGCTCAGTGGGTTAAAGCCTCTGCCTTTGGCTCAGGTCATGATCTCAGGGCCCTGCAATCGAGCCCACCACTGGGCTCTCTGCTCGCCAGGGAGCCTGCTTCCTCAGCTCTCTCTCTGCCTGCCTCTCTGCCTACTTGTGATCTCTGTCAAATAAATAAATAAAAATCTTAAAAAAAAAAAAAAAAAAGAGGGGTGGGATGCCTGGGTGGCTCATTGGGTTAAGTGTCTGCCTTCAGCTTAGGTCATGATCCCTGGGTCCTAGGATCTAGCCCTGTGTTGGGAATCCCTGCTCAGCAGGGAGCTTGCTTCTTTTTCTCCCCCTGCAACTCCCCCTGCTTGTGCTCTCACTCAGTCAAAATCTTTTTTGAAAAAATGAAACTAAAAAGGTAAAAAATGAAAGCTAAAAATTTGGAGTCCCAGGCTTGTCAGCTTCAGAACTATCTCCTAGTCCTGCCTTCACAGCTTAAGGGTGACCTTGAGTTTTAAAGAGGTAATATTTGTGAAAGCACTTTGCAGATTGTGAAAGTTCCTCAGAAATTCAGAAGTGCTTGCATCCAGCTCATTCTTCCATCCCTAACCAGTCTCCATAGACATTCTTAATATATGTTTATAAGTCATATACATATATACATAAACAGGATCTTTTTCAATTTTATTTTATTTTATTTATTTGACAGAGATAGATACATGGGCAGGGGGAACACAAGCAGGGGGAGTGGGAGAGGAAGCAGCAGGATTTCCACTGAGCAGAGAGCCGGATGAGGGGCTGGATCCCAGGACCAAGGGACCATGACCTGAGCCAAAGGCAGACTCTTAACGACTGAGCCATCCAGGAGCCCCTAAACAGGATCTTTTTTAAAAAAGATTTATTTTAGAGAGAGAGAGAGTGGGGAAGGGGCTGAGGGAGAATCTCAAGCAGACTCCCCGCTGAGCATGGAGTCCCATGTAGTGTGGAATCTCGCAACCCTGAGATGATGACCTGAGCCAAAATCAAGAGTCCAGGTGGCTCAGTCGGTTAAGTGGCTGCCTTTGGCTCAGGTCATGATCCCGGGGTCCTGGGATTGAGCCCTGCATGGGGCTCCCTGCTCAGCCAAGAGCCTGTCTCCCTCTGTCTGCAGCTCTGCCTGCTTGTGCTCTCTCTGTCAAATAAATAAATAAATAAAATCTAAAAAAAAAAAAAAAAAATCAAGAGTCCAACATGTTAACTGACTGAGCCATGCAGGCACCCCTATAAACAAGATACTTAGGTTTGGGTTTTTTTTTTGTTGTTGTTGTTGTTGTTTTATCAGTACTTCCTAATTTTCCTTCACTGTGCTGCGGAAAACTATTATAAACTGTATTGTAGAAAAGCAGTATTATAAAAGTTAACATAGAAAATCCTTCCTGATTTTGATTGAAGACAAGACCAAAAAATGAAATCTTTATCAAATTATTAAGTGGGGTTATATAAAACTTTACACATTCCTTTAACTTCTAAAACTTATTTAGTAATAAAACTGCCCCCCTTTCCCTGACAAAAAGAAAAAGTTCATATATATAGGGTATAAGGCCCCCAATCACCCCTAGGCAAAGAAAAAAGCATCCACTGCCTTTCTCTTCCTTGTTCCCACCCCTGGGGGCCCCAGCCACTCCCTGAAAAACCTCTTCAACATGCTGAGCAGGTCCATGGGGGCCCCAGGGCCCCGTTCCCAAGACAGGAGGCAAAAAGCAAAGTGGCTGCTGTTATTAGTCACTTTATTGAATCCAGGACATATCAAAGTCCAGATCACCCCTACCTCCAGCCCCGCTGAACTCCCTTCAGTACCTCTTTGGCCTTTGTAGAGGGTTTACCCCTGCCTGGAATGCCCTCCTTCATCTGCAAATTCCTCTTCACCCCTCCCAACCCAAGACCTTGAGGGCAACGGGCAGCACCAATTATTCCTCCCCGTGCTTCCCCTGACAGGTCACTCCCATATTAAAGCTCTCATCATCCTGCATGGATCCACAGGACCCAGCCGGTAGCCCAGGAAACACTGAATGGATAACTGAATCATGAACAAGGAAACCAGGAGAAAGGCTGGGAACAGGATGTGTGGGTCACAGAGCTAAGAAAGGCTGGGGCTCACTGTGTGGGATGGTGACCGAGGAGGTATGGGCCCTGGGTGGGATCCATTTCTACCTGCCACAATCTTCTACCTTTGGAGACTCCATAGAACTCCAAAGCTCCAGGCCGGAGCTCAAGGAATGATAAGATCCTACATATATTCGGGGCCTGCCCCTTCCCTATCCACCAATGAAATCTGCCTCTGGCCTAAATTCTATCTTCACCCCCCCTCAGATAATCTGGAAGCTCCCAACCGGGGTCCTGGCCCCAGCTGACCCCTGATCCTCACCCCTAGTGAGAGGCAATGGAAAGAAGCAAGCCTGGTTGGCCCTCATCTTTATCTCTTTCCCTCTCCCAGGGCAAGGGGCTGGGGTAGGCCCAGGAGTGGACCCCTAGCTGCTCCTGGCCAATCCCCAAATCTAACGACAGGCCAGTACCACCTTTGGCAGCTGAAGCGTTCACAGAAAGTCATCGCAGGCCAGACACAAACAACTTTACCAGGCCTTGTTCCCCTCTGGAGCCAAGCCCTGACCCCGGGGCTCCCACTCTACCTCCCTCCCTACCAGCCACCATCCCCTCCCTCCCCCTCACTGGGTCTTCCGGTCAAGTTTGCGCCGTACCAGCCGGCTCAGGAGGAAGGCGGTCAGCACACTGCTGCCCACAGTGAGCAGGAAGAGGCCAGAGAAGTTGTGGGGCCAGCGGGTGTGCAGAGGCTCATAGATGGGCCGCCGGGCCTCATAGTCCAGGGCCACAGCCTCCAGCTGAGCCAGCGTGCACAGCACCAAGAACACATGGAAGAGCTGGTGGCCTTGGCCGAAGAGGTGGCAGCTGCCCGGAAACCAGCGCTCCGGCATGAAGGTTGAGAAGAAAGCCGCGGCCAACAGGAAGAAGACCACTTGGCACTTGTGGTAGAGAAGAGCGGGGTCATCTGCGGTCCGGTCGGGGGACACCAGGATGCGGTGCACCACGGGGCTGATGTCCAGCGCGTAGGCCACCGCCGACGGCACCTCCTGGCAGGTGCGGCCCAGCAGGCCAGGCTTCTGGCTGTACTTGTTGTAGCAGGAGCCGGTGCAAGAAAGCCAGGCGAGAAAGGCGGCCATGGGCAGGAAGATGGCCTGCACCCGGGCATGCCAGGCAGGCTCGATGGCGTAGTAGAAGTGCGCCAGGGCGCTGCCGAACTGGTACACGGCCACGCCCACGTAGTCCAGAAAGAAGAAGCTGTAGTGCCAGAACTCGGACTTGGCCTGCAGGAGGTGAGCCAAGGCGCTGAGGGACAGGTAGGTAAAGGAGGCAAGGATAATGATGAAGAGGGGCAGGGCGTGGGGGTCTCCCCAGAAGTCCACGGTCCCCGCAAAGATGGCCAGCCGCAGCAGCAGCACTAGCGCCGCCAGCAGGTGGGTCCAGACGTTCACCGCCTCGTTGTGCTGCTGGAACAGCGTGCGGAAGTAGAAGCGCCACGTCTGATGCAGCGGCCTGTAGCCCACGTAGATGTACGGCTTCCAGAAGAGGGGCGGCACCTCGGCTCGGTCCACCGTGAACACAGGCTCTGGCTGCCCCGATGGCCGCGGCTCCCGGTGGGCCTGCCGCAAAGTGGGCAGGAGATGGCTGAGCTTCTGGGCCACCATCGTGGCCATGGCTGTGGGCCAGGCAGCAAACTGGGAGAGAGGCCAGAGCAGAGTCAGGGCACCCTGGTCCGCCATGAGCAGCAGCTGGGAGGCTCTGGAGCCGGGTTTTTACTCCCTCCTTCCCTCCCCCTTTATCCCTACCCTGAGTTTCTGAAGAGAGGAGTCATCCTAAGGAAGATCATGGCTCTGCCCCTATGACTGTTCTGGGCCCTGATGTATCCAAGTGCCTAAAACAGTGCCTCTTGAGCCATAAGGGGCTCAGTCAATGCTTGAGAGATGAATGGAGGTGGCTCACTACCTCAGCCACTTCCATTCCAGTCCAGCTCCACACAGCAGCCCTTCTGCTTTCTCCTGTGTTCATGATGACATCTGTGTTCACCTGCCGGTGACAGTGACCTTGCTAACAACAGACCTAGTCTCTTCCTTTAGCCCCTTCAGAGTGGCAGGTCTCCCACGGACCCTCCGTCAACTTCCATGATCTGGTCCCTTTTCCTGTCCTGTTGCTCAGCCACAATGTACTTCCAGCCCAGCCACAGCCTCAGCCTGTTTCATGTGTCCAGAGGTTTTCACAAGCTGTTCCCTCTGCCTGAGTTGTCTTCCTCATCTTGCCTACCTGGTAAACTCCTACTCATTCCTCAAAACCCATTTCTTCTGTGATACTTTCCCTGGCCCCCAGATCTCTGATGATGACCTCTCTACTTGAGTGTTTACCATAAGATACCCATCTTTTGACCATTTTAACATTTCTCATGGGCATTAAAATCATTAATGTGAGCTCACGAAGGGTAGGCAGTTAGTTTCATTGTTTTGTGAACCTGTGGGGCTTTGGAGGTAGCTGACACTCAGTATTTGTTGAATCAAAGAGCATAACAGCATCCTGGTAACACTTCATACCCTTAGTCCCCAACTCAAAAAGCCACTTCTTCCCCCTGAAAGTCCCCAGTTAAAAACTGATTCTATAGGGATGCCTGGGTGGCTCAGTCAGTTAAGCATCTGCCTTTGGCTCAAGTCACGATCCCAGGGTCCTGGGTTTGAGTCCCGCATCAGGCTCCTTACTCAGCAGGGAGCCTGCTTCTCCCTCTGCCTGCCACTCCCGCTGCTTGTGCTCTCTCCCTCTCTCTCTGACAAATGAAAAAATAAAAACGTTTTTTTAAAAAAACCTGATTCCCTTTCCCCCAGTCATAGCTCCACTCAAAAGGTCCTCCTCCTCCAGCCTTTCCACTCCCACCCATGGCTGCTAATTCCAAAGGGATCAAATCTAACCCTTCACCCTGCCATTCAAGACCCTGCTCCTACCCTTATTTCCCACACCCAAATATCACACCCTGTGCCAACTTCCTTTCCCTCCATTAAAATCCATCAGGGCCAGTTCTACCTACTACCTCCGGGGGCCTCCTTACTTCACCCCTCCTCACCGCCCCTCCCCATCTACTACCCCTGTATTGGTTATATAATATACCATATAAAACATATTCATTCTTCATCTGGTCATTTAGCAAACAATTACTGAGTCCCTTCTCTGCCTCAGGTCCTGTGCTGGGTCCCAGGGAGGGCAGAGAGGAAAAAGATCTAATCCCTGCCCCCTGGGAACTTCACGGTATGTGGAGATTATCAAAAGGAAAACAAATCATAGCAAATGCTTATACAGTACCCGCTTTGTGCCAGACACTGTTTTAAATACTTTATGTGTAATTGCCTCATTGATACTTCATAACATCCTGTAAGTAGGTACTATCATTAGTACCATTTTGCAGATAAGGAACTGAGGCAAGGAGACATGAAGGACCCTGCCCACCCAACTAGCTAGGAGATGGCAGAGGCACGGTCTGGACTCAATTTGCAATCTTAACCACTACCCTGAACTGCCCTTTGCAAGACAAGGTGGCAAGTGCCATTAATCATTTCATAGTTAAATATTCTCTATATAGTTTGACCTGAAACCAGTTGCTTAATTCAGGCTTATCTTCATTCACTGTGTCAGTCATTAAGTCAAATATCTACTGAAACACTAGCACCTGCCCCACAACTCCCAACCCTCTGACGAGCTTATTGGACTTAGCACCCTGGTCTTCTGTCCGTCTTTCATCACATATTTATTGCAACTACCTTTGCACCAGTCATTGTAAGAGGCAAGGAGATCCAGGTAGGATAAAGCTCTCATGTTTCTGCCACCAACAGCACCTTGATCACTCCCCAAAGCTCCCCAATAATTTACACACAGTCCAATAAATGCAGGGAGCTTGCTATGCGAAGGCAGTATCAAGACAAGCCCCCAACCACCCTCCTCCTCACCCTAGCCTGACCTGCATCCCTAAGTGCCCCCTGCATGACACGTCTCAAGTCAGCTCTGGTCTCTGGACTCTCCTAATCCAGTGAGGAGGCAGGAGTTAAAACAACTCGCTACAATACTGCACAAGGGGTGCTTCTGACAGGGGAGCGCAGGACTCTCCCACTTCCCATTCCCCAGACACCATGGCACAGGTCAGGTTTAGGAAGCTGACCTTGCTGGCCACTTCCATCCATGAGAACCACCCCCACCCCCACCCCACGCTGGCCTGCCCTGCTAGTAGAGGAGCCAGCACTGAAGGTGGATCTCCTCCCCCAAGAGGCTGGGCTTCAGCCTCTACCCTTGTCTACAATTTTGGCTTTCCAACTCAGAACCTCAGGAAGCCTGAAAAGGCCTCTGAAAATGTCTCATGCAGCACCTTTGTTTTACACTGAGGAAACAAGAGCCCAGAGACAGGCAGGCTTTCCCCAGAGTTGCCCAATCCAGCCAAGTTTCCATACCCCAAAAGGGAGAAGACCAAGGAATGATAATGTCCAATGGTGGCCTACTTCCTGGGTCCCTGTGATCCATTAAATCTAGTCCAAGCCTCCATATCCCACTGAGAACTTTCTAAGTCATAACAGCCTATTAAAGGCTCTGAGAAGTCCTGCAGCATAGAAGTCAGCTTTGCTTCGTTGAACCTCCATTTGTTAAGACTGCCTGACCAAAGATTCTTTTCCTGGTAATAATTACATTGTAAAGCCAGCTGAAATGTGTGTTTACTGTATGCTTACTCTTTATAACCTTGTTGCAGTTAATTCCCATAACTAGCCTGGTGAGGTAGTTATTATGCCCATTTTCTTTTTTCTTTTTTTTTTTTTTTTTAAGATTTTATTGATTTATTTGACAGAGAGAGAGAGAGATCACAAGTAGGCAGAGAGAGAGAGAGAAGGGGAAGCAGACTCCCCGCTCAGCAGAGAACCCGACACGGGGCTCGATCCCAGGACCCTGAGATCATGACCTGAGCTGAAGGCAGAGGCTTAACCTACTGAGCCACCCAGGCGCCCCCCCATTTTCTTTTTGAGGCTAGTGAAACTCAGAGAGGTTAGGAACTCTTCCCCAAGTGCACATGCTCACATTCATACATGTGTGTACACACACACACACACACAGAGTCTACCCTGCCTCCTGTCACTGTCAATCTGTATTCCACAGAACTACTTTATAAAATAATGGTCTAAAGCAGGTAGCCAAGGCCTTCCCCATAAATTATTTCCTTAGTCTGCTAGCAACTGACACGGATCCAGGGTCGTCCGTCTCCCCTCATTACCAGCCACCCATTGGGTCTACACCAGTGAAGCCCTAGCTCACAGCCACCTCCTCAGGTTATCATAGCTCCCGCAGGGCCCTCCTCCTCCACCAGCCATGGTGGGGCCTAAGCATGGTGGGGCCTAACCCAGAGGTTACATACTAGGATAAAGAGATCTTGGTCCCTACTTCCTTTAGACCTCACCCACAGGCTCCATTCCATCTGGATCTGTCTATTTTTAGAATTAGTTCCCATCTCCTGACTCCATGGAAAGGGGCCCCCAAATCCAGGGTAAAGGAGCAGGAGCAGGGGTCCAGCATGAGCTGGAAGGAGGAGGGCAGGTATCCAGAGACCACCCTCAGAGAATCCTCAGAGTCATCTGCCCACCAGGCTGCCAGGACATGCTTCTTTCGGGCCACCCTCCACCACCCTCTACCAAGCCTAGGTTACCTAGGCGTTTTCCTGGAGCCTGGGGGCCGATGGCTTCCGCTGTGGGACTGGGCAAATTCACCAGATGCCAGGCACTGGGTGGCACTTCCACAGGTGAGGGTCACTAGGGGCGGGGCTTCCAAGGACTGGAGGTGTCTTGTGTGATGTCACCAGAGGGTGGGGCTAAAGGAAACCTCCACCTCTCCCTTCCCCCAACCATCACCATTCCCACACTGGTCAAATCCCAGTTAAATGTAGCCCTCCTAGCCAGGCCTCAGCTGCAGAAAGAAAGTCAGCATTACCCTCCACATGAAATGTCTGGGGAAACCCAGGGCTGGCTAAAAAGTTGGGACTTACCCAAGATTCACAGCAAGACGGGCAAAGCTGGGCTGAGACCAGGTGACCAGGGACCGGTTGATGGATGTCAGGCACACTTCACCAGCTTCTGTCCCCTACTCACCAGCAAACATAACGGAAAGAAGTTAGAAATAAAGGAGAAAGGAGACACCATAAAGGCTCATGAAGGAGATGGACTTCAGATTCAGAAAAACCAGGTTTGACGCCTGCCTCCATCACATGCTAGCTGTGTGACCTAAGACAAGTGATTCACCTTCTCTGAGCCTTAGCGCCCTCACGGGAATTATACTATTATCTATAGCATAGATGGCTGTAAAGATTAAACTCATTAGAATAAAGTTGTAGCACAGTTGAGGGACTCAATAAATGATTGTTATTATTATTAATTATTAATAGTAGTAGTAACTCATTGTTATTAATAGTAGTAGTATTTTAATTATCCCCAGCCTGAGTCGTAGTATTTGAAATATCCCCAGCCCTAGAGATTTGCTTGGCATCGTCTAAAAAAAACTGTCCTCTTTTAACCCTCTTTTTGCCCAGAGGCAAAATAGATGACAAGCTTGTAGGGATGGGGCAGTAAATGGGCTTCAAAGTGGGAGAGCCCCAGGTTTTACCCATCCCACTGAGTTCCGTGCACACAGCAGGCCAAAGGCTACAGGGCTGGGGCACAGGGTGAAGGAAGCAGACAGACTCCCTGCCCAGATAGGGCTCTCCCACACAAACGAAATGCCTGCAGGCTGAGGAAAGTCCAGCCGGAGAGAAGGCACGTGGGTGGTGACCGTGCAGCACTGGAGACAGCTGATGCTCCACGGGAGGGTGTCTACCACTTGCCCCAGGCCGGCTATTTCAGAGAGAAGCCAGGTCCCTATTTTCACGTGAGGGTGGGATTTCAAATCTGACACTCATCGGCTGTGTGACTTTGCTTTTTAAGTCCCTTACCCTCTCTGAACCTATTTCCTCATTCATAATCGAAGGATAGTAATAGCCACCCCTTGGGCTCTTGTGAAAGCAAAACAAAGTTATAGATGCAAGCTGTTGGCTCCGACAAAGCCTGGCTCTGCTCTTTTTGTTGGGTTCAAGTCCTGGCTCAGCCATTAAATCCCTGTGGGATCCCGGACAAGTCCATTCCCCTCTCGGCCCCGTTTCTCCAAATATCAGAGGAGAGAGTGAATTTACTGGTAACATCAAAGGGCGCTTCAGGCCCTGAGATGTTTCAATATTTGTTCGAAGCCGAGTGTGTGGCAGGGTCTAGAGCTTCAGCAGTGAACAAAGCAGTTAAGACACTTTCCTCATGGAACCAACAGCCCTGCTAGTAACAGCTAAGGGCAAGAACTAAGGATATTAATACCCTGCCCTCTTGGAGCTTAATAGCCTAACTAAAAAATGCCTATTATGAGTATTAATCAGTTATAATTCCATTTTCTCTCTCACCTCCATCTTGGCATGCAAAATATTCATTGTTGCTTCCCTGGGACCTGATTAGTCAGCACACTCCCTTAAAGACAGCTTTATCTTGCCATAGAAGACAAAGTCTAACCTCAGATAAAAATAATAGAAAGGCAGGGGGGACATCTGGCTGGCTCAGTAGGTAGAGCATGAGATTCTTGATCTCAGGGTCGTGAGTTCAAGCTGCATGTTAGGCCTGGAGCCTACTTAAAAACAGTAATCATAATAATAATAGTAAGGCCTGGCCCATGTTAACACAAGAGTTGTTAGAGGTAAATGTTCTTGAAGGGTCCTGACAAGGATGATTTATAAGAGCCCAAATATTATCAATAAGATTAGATGCTAACATTAATAATTACAGTGGCTTGCTGTTTACAAAGAACTTTCACATATATTTCAACTCTCCCTCAAAGCAACTCTGGTCCTCCACGTAAGCTGCTGTCACAGCCCAGGAGGCAGGATGGCCGGGCACAACATCTGACTCCCAAACCAGTGCTCTTGCCTTTCATCCACTGTAGTCAACTCCCAGGCATCCGGTGGGTGGCCACAGATTACACAAGCAAAGTTTTCATCCCTGGCTGGCCTCCCGATCTCCCAGCAACTGGGTCACCTCCCTCAATGCAAACCTATTCCCCAAATCGGCAGAATGTGTTTAAGAAAAAGTTCTTCCATTTCTTCCAAAACGGAACAGATTTTTTTTTTTTTTTGTAACCACACCCAGGGCCACCATTTGTGATTAGAATAGAATAAATAAGTCAAAGGAATTCTGTGGAACTCAGACTCACTAATGCTCTGAGGACAGGGACGAACCTGTAGGAAGAAGGCAGGCTCAGAGAGGTTGGGTGAGCTGGCTACAGTCACCCAGCACGGGTTGGAAAAAGGACCCAACTTTCACCTCTGTCCAGCAAGGGCCCCTCTAGTCAGAGAAACTGAGGCTGGAGTGAGGCCGCCTCTTCCCAAGGGCTCTGAGGTGGCACAAACCCCTTGAAGTGAGGCTGGAACCCCCTCCCACAGGAGCTAAAATATAAGGTCCTGGGCCACCCAATCAGGTGCAGGCAGGCTCTGGGACTCCATCAAACTCTCAAACTCTCCAGCTGTGGCCTGGCCAGGCCCCTCACACAGGCCAGGCCTGCACGGGCTGCCCCAGGGAAACCTCCAGGGGTCTTCAAAGGCTGCAGGCTTGGAGCAAATGCTATTGGGTGGTATGGGGCTCCTTCCCCTTCCCCTCACTGGGTAGGGAAACCTCCATGCTTTCCTGACACCAAGACAGGCTTCCCCAGCCCAACCAGCCTAGATGGCCCCCAAGGGGGACGCTCTCACATTATCCAGTTCCAGGTAGTCGCACCCCTTGTACCCCTGGAGTCTCCCTACATTCTCCCGCAGTGGGAGCAGCGAACCCCTGGCTTCTCCTCTTCCTGGCCACCGTGGCCCTGCCCACCCTCTCAGATGCGTCCCATTCCAGAGGGTCCCCCAGCGTCCTCCGGCTCTCACCCTGGGGCGCCCCGGCTCCGGCTCCGCCCCCTGCGCGCGCGACCGCCGCCCCCGGGAGCAGCCCCTGCGCCCGCCGCTGGTTCCCCTCCCCCCAGCCCTGTACCTGCTGCGGGCCAGAGCGCGGCAGGGAGCCCGGCCGCCTAGGACCCGCGGCCCTCGGCGTCCCGGGCGACCTGCAGGCAGATAAAGGGGCGGCCGGTGGCCCCGCCTCGAGGCGGGCGGGGGGCGGGGCGGCGGCGGCGGGTGGGAGGGGAGCGGCGGCACCGCCAGCCTCCCCGCCCCCCGCCGCGCCCACTTGTTGCCCACGGAGGCGGGGGCGTGGGGCTCCCCGACCCCGGCAACCAAGGAGTCGTGGGCGTTCCGATGGCCATCGTGTAGAAAGATGGGGAGACACAGGCCCGGAGGGCAGAAGGGGTTGCCTAAGTCCCCCAGCTGGGCGGCGGCGCTGCGGAGGCTCCAGCCGAGCGGGTCCCGCTTCCGCCGACGGGAAGCACCAGCTCCGGAGTCCGGACGACCGACTGGCTGACACGGGGCGAGTTGTAGCAGGAGCGCGGACAGGTTTGCCAGCGAGAGCCCGCCGCCCAGCCCCGAAGCCACCGGGATCTCCACGCTTGCCCCGCGCACTTCTGGTCTCGATGGGCCCGGCCTTCCATTTTCATCTCTCTGCCCCGGAAGCCCCACCCCGGCTCTGCACCCCTGTCTTATTCAAGATTCCACTTCAGCCCTCTCCGTGGGCCGCTTCCCCTGGGCGGCCGGCCCAAGGCATGGTGTTTGAACCTCTGTTAAAACACCACTTCCTACCCCCTAGTGTAACATCTCCCCCCAGAAGTGGGAGCCCCCAAAGGGTGAGGGATCCCTGAATAGAGAAGGCCCTCAGCAAAGACTGACTCCTCTGGACCTGGACCAGACAGAGTGGGGAGACACTTCCACCCCCATCTGGGGCACACACAGCCTGATGGATGCGGAGCTAAGAGGGAACAGTCTAAGAGGGGACACTGCTCCGCCCTCGGGGAGCCCCATGTGTGGGGCATGGGCATGATGACTGGATTCAAGTCCTGGTGCTACCCCCAACTCACCATGTGACCTTGGGCAAGTTTTTTTCTGGGCCTCAAGTTTACTACCTGTGAAATGGAAGTAATAATACCTGACAGGTTGTTAGGAGGATTAATAAAACTGGGTATGAAGGTTCTTTGTCAACTGCAATGAATACTAGAGGAATGTATATTTCCTTGATATATTATAACAAAACATGCATAATCATAATCATAATAACCCTAAGAATTAGTTAAATCTCTATTATCCATGTGGATAGAAAAAGTGGCATAGAAGAGTCAATCATTTAGAGCAGGTAGGGTATGGGAAATGAAAAGCAGTAAGGACATTATGGAAATTATATTCTATATGATGGAATATATTCTATCATAGTGAATACAAATTTAAAACTTGGAAGGTGACTTAGACTCCTCTCGCAGTTTTTGAACACCTGCTCTGTAATGGACATGTTTTTAAAGCTACAGTTAAAAAATATAAAAATAAAAAAAATAAAGTTACGGTCTTTTAAGCTCTTGCTATGTGTACTGAATAGTTGCCAAGTTATCTCCTTTGAGCCAGACAACCCTATTAACCCCTTTACAAACTGGGAAACTAAGGATCAGAAAAGGGACATGGGACTGTTATATTATCTCATTTAACCTCATCTTTTCCTATAAATTGAGTGTGAGGACCCCCATTTTACAGACAGAAAAACTGAGGCCTGGAGGGGAGAAATTATATATTCCAGGTCACATAGCTCCTGACGTACTCAGGCTCTGAGAAATGGATCTGGAGGTGTGCCTAGCAGAGAGAAAAGTCACTTGAACCTGAAACTCAACTATGGATATTTGGGAGCTGAATGATAAAAATTTTTTAAAGTAGGAACAGTGATCAGGTATGGAGCACTTGGCATGTGCCCGGCCTAAGGCAAAACCCCTTCCACGCACTGTAAGCCCATAAGGGTGTGGTTTCCTTATCTCAATTAGTGGATGGGGAAACTGGTTCCGGAAGATACTACTTGCCCAAGACCACCCAGTTGGCTAGAGGCAGGCCTGAATCCCAGCCTTGCTCTTATCTGCTACTCGGTACTGGTAACAAGGAGTGAAGCTGTGGGGCCAGGACAATTCCCTCCCTACCCAGCTGTGCCCCCTTTTCCAGCCCAGGGCAGCTCCCACCCTTGCCTTTCCCAGCTCAGACACCTGAGTGAGGCCAAGTAACTCCATGGCTCCAAGAGCCCAGAGCTCTGAAATCCTTTGAGTCCAGACCCTAGAAGAGGAAGGTGGGGAACCCACACAGTAAGCTGTGTGTCATCCAGCTGCCCTCCCAGATGCTGGGTTCAGCTGTTGGAGGAACAGGGTCTCCAGGGAGACTAGATTCCTGGGAGGCCCTAAAGAGTCAAAAGACCTCAGAAGTCAGGCTCTGAGCTAAGAGATTATCAGAAAGGGCTTCAAGTGCACCTAAAGAAAGAAAATACATGGGGCCTGACTGTCCTGAAAACATTGTTATATTTTCCCCCAAACAAGGGCATCCATTTGGGGGCGGTGGGCAGCAAAGCAGTGAAGCACACGAGAGCATTGTGCCTGGGTTCACACCTTAGCTCAGCCACTTACCCCAGGCAAGTTATGTAGCCTCTCTGGATATCTGGTTCATTCATCCTACAACAGGTCAGTGCCCTCCCTCCATTTAGAGTTGGCATGAAGAGTAAAGGAAATCACATACAGTACTCATGGCACCAGACGTATCGTGCTATTGCTCTAGCTCGGTTCCTTCCTCCCCCTCTTTGCCAATAAGGGAGCAAAATAAAGGCTTTGTTGTCCACCTCCAGTGTTAAGGTGGTTTGTTACACAACATTATTGAAGCAATTCCTGACTCACACGCATAGCAGAGCCAGCATGCAAAGGCAGGGGTATGACCCAAGACCACAATTTCAGTTGTGCGTGGTGCAGGGGGGTACACGGCGCTAGGGACACTGACTGCCTACAGAAATTCTCTGCCGGAGGTTCACTTGGAGTGAGCCTTATAGGATGAGGAAGGGTTCTCTGAGCCATGAGGAGGGAAAGAACTTTCCAGACAGTGGGAACAGCATGTGCAAATGTATGGAGGTGTGAATGGTGGGGTAGGTTTAGGGAAGGAGCCATCATGTTCTAGGCCTGGAGAAGAGGGACCCTGGGGGCAGCAGGTGACATTTGAAAGGTAGGGAGAGGGGGTGCCTGGGTGGCTCAGTGGGTTAAGCCTCTGCCTTTGGCTCAGGTCATGATCCTAGGGTCCTGGGATTGAGCCCTGCATCAGGCTCTCTGCTCAGCAGGGACCCTGCTTCCTTCCCTCTCTCTCTCTGCCTGCCTTTCTGCCTACTTGTGATATCTGTCTGTCAAATAAATAAATAAAATCTTAAAAAAAGAAAGAAAGAAATGTAGGAAGAGGTTAGAAGGAAGAGAGTCTTTCCCAGGTGGGAGGGCTTTATCCTGAAGGCCATACGGAGACTGGAGGCAGAGATTAGAGAGAGGAGTGGGATGGGGTGAGGGGGCTTCAAGGAGAGCAGTCAGAGAGGTCAGGGGTATCCTCTGGGACTCCGTAGCTGGGTATCAGACTCTTGACCAAGAATCCCAAAGGGGAAGGGTTGGCAATAGCAGCAGAACACAGTGGTGGGAGGGAGCTGACTGGGTTTGCAGGGATGCTGGCCGTAGGTATGTGCTGCCCGCAGGCCATGGCTGTGCCGCAGGAGGGAGGCAGCCTTTGATCCTGCCCAAGAACGTCTCCTGTGGGGACTTGGAGGGGTCCTGGGATTGGGGGGAGCCATCATAAACAGCTGGCCTTCCTCAAGGGACCCCCAGATGAGGCCTCATGGTGACTGTCCCCGGCAAGGCAAACGCACGAAACTGGCCCATCAGATTACAGCTTCAGCAGGGGTGGGCAGCCCCACGCATGCCCACCGCAGCCCCCCTCCAAGCTTCTGCCAGGCAGCCTCCACTTTCCAGCCTCTGGGCTCTCCTGGAAGTTGTAGCTCAGCAGTTCAGGCACTTAGCGCCCTGACAACGGCCCAGCCCTCATGGAAGCTGCTGGAGAAAGCCCCGGCCTCCTGTTCCGAATAAAACTCTGGGAGGCATTTGGTCTCTGCATTAGGCCTTCTGGAATCCAGGCTCCATCACCCAAAGCAGCAATCTGGAAGATACAACCCATCCTCCTTTGTGCTTTGCCTGCTTCCTTGTCTCCGCACTCCTGTCCTTCTGCTCTCCGGGGTTGCCTCCCAAACAAACTACTCACACCTAAGTGTCTGCCTCGGGCTCTGCTTTGGAGGAAAACCAGGCAAAGACTGTTGGGACCCCCTTCCCACACCCCCCAAGAAAGAGAGTCAGTTTTAAACACCTGCCAAGCCCAGAATGCTCAAGACAAGTAGGGGGTAAGGCAGACCTTTCCTGAACCTGAAACCTCACCACCTTTCCTGTTCCCTTCTGGGCAGCCCTGGAGAGGTCAGTGCTTAGTGAGCAGCAGGGGAGGAAGCTCAGGGGAGGAGGCTCAAAGGGCAGAAATACAGAACAAGCCAACCATGGACTCTCTCCTACTCCAGACTTCAAGTTGCCAACACATTCCTACCTCTTGACCTTTCCACTTGATATGCCTTCTGCCTGGAACTCACTTTGCCCCAGATAGGACCAGCATAATTTCTGAGGCCCTGTACAAAATGAAAATGCAAAGCTTTGTTCAAAAATTGAGAATTTCAATATAATGAGAACAGAACATGAAACCAAGCACAGGGACCCTCCTGACCCAAACTCCTATGTGACAGCATGGGTCACATGGCCAGGAAGCTGGTCGTGCCTTCCATCAGCAGAACTTCTGTCTGCTGCCCCACTGCCTTCAGATGCCTGTTTCAATGTCCCCTAACCCAATGGGGCACCCGACTGGCTCAGTCGATAGAGTATGTGACTCTTGATATTGGGGTTGTAAGTTCGAGCCCCATAATGGGTGTAGAGATTACTTAAAAATAAAATCTTGGGGTGCCTGGGTGGCTCAGTCGGTTAAACATCTGCCTTCGGCTCAGGTCATGATCCCAGGGTCCTGAGATCAAGTCCTACATTGGGCTCCTTGCTCAGCAGGGAGCCTGCTTCTCCCTCTGCCTC